CTCTCTCTCTCTCTCTCTCTCTCTCTCTCTCTCTCTCTCTCTGCGCGCAATGACTGCAGTTACACTGCGGCATAGAGGAGATAACGCGATGCCTTGTCAAAGTCTTTTTTTTCCTCTCCTATTTCTTAAAGTTTCTTTCTTGACACTTTTTCTTCCTCTTCGTCTCCTCCTCCTCCTCCTCCTCCTCGTACTTGCAGTCAGCTGGACGAGTGAAATGCGATGCGGCGATGAAGAAGAGATGCCCTAATGGTGTTAGTGGACTACTTGTACATTGCGTTAGCGACCTCCTCGAGTGAGGCTGCAGGCGCCCCCTGCCCCCAAACTTGTGGCTGGCTGACACCATACGTCACTACCTTGCTCTTCTGCGCGCAAGTCGTGCAAATGACGACGACTGACTGTTTCGGGAAGCCATAACGAACGGCCGCACGTCGTCGTCGTTTTTAAAAAGAACATTTTTATTTTGATCGCAGTTAATTTGTTTCCTGCCCCAGAAATGCCCAGAAATGCCCCCTCCTCCATTGGTGTCTTCTAGTTACGTTCTGCAGTGCGCCACCCGGCCCGGGCACGGCACCGAGACACTCACCTGCGCCACGGCCCAGAGGAGCGGCCGCATCCCACCACGCCCTGCAACAAGAACAACAACATATGAATGACGACGCTAGGATCAGATTACGTCTCTCTCTCTCTCTCTCTCTCTCTCTCTCTCTCTCTCTCTCTCTCTCTCTCTCTCCCTCTTACTCTCTCTGTTTCCGTCAGGATGTGCCTTTGGACGTGACGACAGGTGTCGATCCCGCACCTGTCTCTCTGACGGGGAGGAGAGAGACAAAAGGGTTCGCGGCGAACGCGTGGATGATGACTGTGTGAGATTCTTATACGTCAATTATTCATTGCGAAAACATGCTTCACTAACGTCTGGAATGTATTTTTTCTTATTGTATAACGGGGCAGTATGGGAAAGAAAGAAAATAAGTGTAATCGTTGAGACGCTTTACATCTAGCGCATGTATGGTAACGCTCTGTATGACGTTAAGGTTCTTTTATGAGAGAATGACGATGGCACACACAGCAGCAGGTCGAACATGCGTGGGTCATCCAGGTTGAACCGTCCTCAAAGTGCTTTACACGACGAGGACACACGTTCGCACGAGGTGCGTGTGTATGTCTGTATGCGTGTATGTGTAATTTGGGAGGGGAGGGGGGGCGACCTTTGGGGCAAGGTACTAAAATCCCTTCGGGCAGAAATGCAACACAACGCTTTGTCCCCGTTTGCGAGAGTGAGTGAGAGAGAGAG